AGATTATTGTTTACTCTCTGGCAGTCTAAATTATTGTTTACTCTCTGGCAGTCTAGATTATTGTTTACTCTCTGGCAGTCTAAATTATTGTTTACTCTCTGGAAGTCTAAATTATTGTTTACTCTCTGGAAGTCTAGATTATTGTTTACTTTCTGGCAGTCTAAATTATTGTTTACTCTCTGGAAGTCTGGATTATTGTTTACTCTCTGGCAGTCTAGATTATTGTTTACTCTCTCACAGACTAGTTTATGGTTTACTCTCTCACAGACTAGATTATGGTTTACTTCCTAAATGTCCAGATTATTGTCTACATCCCTGACACTCTTTATTATGTAAATTGGTGTTTTGATAATTGTATAAATAATTGTTATTTTTTGCAAAACATTACACTCCTGAGGATGACGCAATAGTATAAGTCGAAACATCTAGAGTGTGAAACATCTAGAGTGTACGAGTTGTTTTCCAGTTTAATCGCGTTTTTTTACCACTTTCTTATCCTGTACAATAAGTTATTGTGTTTTAGTGATTTGGAGACTGGAAACAATTTCATTTTTATGGAATTGTGTATAAAATAATCGTTGTTTTTTTAAAAATTGTGAGTTTTTAAGACTTGATTATTGTTTACTCCCTGACAGACTTGATTATTGTTTACTCTCTGACAGCCTGAATCATGGTTTACTCCATGATATTCTAGATTATGGTTTACTTCCTAAAAGTCTAGATTATTGTTTACATCCCTGACACTCATGATTATTATTTACTCCCTGACAGACATTATTTTTGTTTATTCTCTGACAGACTTCATTATTCTTTACTCCTTAACACTCTTGATCATTATTTACTCCCTGATAGACTAGGTTACTGTTTGCTCTCTGACAGTCTTGATTATTGTTCACTCCCTGACAGACTTGATTATTGTTTACTCCCTGACAGACTTGATTATTGTTTACTCCCTAACAGACTTGATTACTGTTTACTCCCTAACAGACTTATTTATTGTTTACTCCCTAACAGACTTGATTACTGTGTATTCTCTGACAGACTTGATTACTGTTTACTCCCTGACAGAATAGATTATTGTTTACTCACTAACAGGCTTGATTATTGTTTACTCCCCGACAGTCTAAATTATTGTTACTCCATGATTATGGTTTACTTCTTAAGGTCCAGATTATTTTTTATTCTCTGACCGCCTTGATTATTGTTTACTCCCTGACAGTCTACATTATTGTTTACTCTCTGACACTTTTGATTACTGTTTACTACCTGACAGACTAGGTTATTGTTAATTCTCTGACAGACTTGATTATTGTTTACTCACTGAAACTCTTATTTATTGTTTATTCTCTGACAGACTTGATTATTGTTTACTCTCTCACAGACTACATTATGGTTTACTTCCTAAAAATCTAGATTATGGTTTACATCCTTGACACTCTTGATTACTGTTTACTCCCTGACATTCTTGATTATTGTTTACTCCCTAACATTCTGTCCTCTAAATTAATCAAGTCCAATTGCAGAGTGAATCAAAAATTTTATTTCTTTAATCATTCCTTAAATCATAAAAAAGTCAATTATTTAAATAGTATAACATAATATAGTAAACTAATATAGCACTTACAACTTTAAAACAGAATGTTCCAACTGATAACTAATTATATTAAACTTTGCCATTAAAATAAAATAACATATACAGGCAATGCCACAATTAACAAGTATAGTAAGAAGTGTTTTACATACCTTATTAGCCTGCTCCAACTCCAGGACACGAAACTCTAAAAGTTCATTCTGGTCTTTAGCCTCTTTCAACTCTTCACATAGTTCAGCTACCTAAGTTAACATAATTAACATACAACGTGAAATTATGGAATCAGTTCACAGAATCCAATTACGATATTAACACTGTTCTTTACACTGACCACTTTATCAGTTTTTCTGAAACTTTTATGTAAAGGATACTAACCACACATTGCCATGAATTTTGTTTTTTGCTACCATAAGAGTGAAATGATGCCAAAATCAAATGATATCGACAAATAATTTAAATTATTCAGTGCAGAATTGGCTGTCATTACTGCTAGATACATAGATTGTTGATAATTGGCTATTCTTCATAACAATTAAGTGTATCAATATCTGTTATTTATTATGACATGATAATTAAATATGTAGAGTGTATCAATATTTTGCTGTTGTTTATCATGACATGATAATTAAATATACAGTGTGTACCAATACTCTGCTGTTGTTTATAATGACATGATAATTAAATACATAAAGTGTATCAATATTTTGCTGTTCTTTGTTATGACATGGTAATTAAAATATACAGTGTATCAATATTTTGATGTTGTTGTTTATCATGACATGATAATTAAATATACAGTGTGTATCAATATTTTGCTGTTGTTTATAACATGACAATTAAATATATAGAGTGTATCAATATTTTGCTGTTGCTTATAATGACATGATAACTAAATATATAGTGTATAAATATTTTGCTGTTGTTTATTATGACATGGTAATTAAAATATACAGAGTGTATATCAATATTTTGCTGTTGTTTATCATAACATAATTAAATATATAGATTGTATCAATATTTTGCTGTTGTTTATTATGACATGATAATTAAATATATAGTGTATTAATATCTGCTGTTGTTTATATTGACATGATAATTAAATATACAGTGTGTATCAATATTTTGCTGTTGTTTATTATGACATGGTAATTAAATATATAGAGTGTATCAATATTTTGCTGTTGTTTATAACGACATGATAATTAAATATATAGTGTATTAATATCTGCTGTTGTTTATTATGACATGATAATTAAATATACAGTTTGTATCAATATTTTGCTGTTGTTTATAATAACATGATAATTAAATATATAGAGTGTATCAATATTTTGCTGTTGCTTATAATGACATGATAACTAAATATATAGTGTATAAATATTTTGCTGTTGTTTATTATGACATGGTAATTAAAATATACAGAGTGTATCAATATTTTGCTGTTGTTTATTATGACATGATAATTAAATATATAGTGTATTAATATAATCTCTTGTTTATCATGACATGATAATTAAATATACAGTTTGTATCAATATTTTGCTGTTGCTTATAATGACATGACAACTAAATATATAGTGTATCAATATTTTGCTGTTGTTTATATTGACATGATAATTAAATATACAGTGTGTATCAATATTTTGCTGTTGTTTATTATGACATGGTAATTAAATATATAGAGTGTATCAATATTTTGCTGTTGTTTATTATGACATGATAATTAAATATATAGTGTATTAATATCTGCTGTTGTTTATTATGACATGATAATTAATTATATATAGAGTGTATCAATATTTTGCTGTTGTTTATTATGACATGAT